TCAATAATTCTTACAAATATAATGAATTTCGTGATGTGTCCTTGTAGATGTAAAGTGACAAGTATCACATACCAAATATTTGAGTAAAATAGATAGAAATACATTTTACATTTTGCAAAACTAGATATTATGTCAAGAATACTTTATTTTTCCGACTAACTAATTAATTAATTTATTATATTTATTATGTTTATTTATATTAATTTATTAATTCATTATATTTATTATTATTAATTTAATATTTTTTATCATTCTTAAAAACCATAGAACGACGTTTAAAATTTACGGGACAATTCTCGATCTTACAGATTTACGTAATCTGTAGTGTAGATTAATTTTAAATAATAACAATAATTATAGTAAGCTTTGTACCAAGTTTTATAGTTTATAGTTAACGATCAATGTTTACAGTGTCTATTTGGCCCGCTCTTTGAGAAACAATAAGTTACCATTCATAGCATGGCCGTTTAATCTGACTGAATTTGCGTTGCTCTTGGTCCTTTATACCAAAGACAATGGACATGATACGACGCAGAAACTGGAACCAGTTATGAGAATGGTAATGGAGTTTGTTGTGAGCTTTAGCATTGTCGCGAAATGCAACTCTTTCAATGCGAATACTTGCGTATAGATAAACACACATTCGGTTTTTTCGGCACCGGTGTTTCAAATTTTTACAGTTCTGTTAATAGCAAATGTAATCATAAAATTTTTATTTATTTATCAGCTTACGTTTCTAATATGTTATATTAGAAGCCGTAACGTTATTATTTATCACTTCGACCGATTCGCACGTTCTTCAGCTGTTTGCGATATAATAAAAAAGGTATTGATCAAGTGTATGCACAGCACGTATTACGATAACAGCTATTTCAAAATTTTTTTTTTCATAACAAATTCAAGGTTATCGCAAATTTTCAAGATAAAACCATAATACAGTATAATTTTTTCTCACTCTATTATAAAACAGTTATTTATTAGATTTTACGATGTGATTTATGATATTGGAAATATGAGGTTTTTCCTTTCTACTTTATTTCAAATACCAAATTAAAGGTGTTTTTCCGTTTCATACAAAAGTATGAAAATGACTTACAGGTATATAAAGATATCATGAAGATTATAAAGATATGTAAAGATCATAAAGATATCGCTCGATAACAGAGTAAACTTGCAAAGATTTATTTTAGTACGTACCATTACATGTACATTATTACAAAATTTTTGTTGTTTTATTACAAAATCTCTTATTAATTCTTACATAATACTCATAAGAACCATGTTATGCCATACACGCGTATACGTATTATATATACATTTGTGACGTATCAAAAAAGAAACAAGTTGAGCCGATAAAGTAATATCTTAAAACACTTTGATTTTGCCTATTAACACTTTCGGTGTCACGAATATTTTTAGGAAATGTTCAGCCTTTACACGCTTCGCATGAAACGTGTTTCGCGCATCAATGCATTCTTGAATATGTGATTATATTTTTGATTAAGGTTCCATAATCGTTTTTCATCGTTATCTCGTATTAACGTGAACAGTAGCAAGTAACATTTGAGCTGATCAGCGACAGATAGAAACGACAATTTCTAGTTTAGTTATATCAGCATTGTTCAACATAAGCTGCGAAGCTTAAAAGGCTTTTCCACGCCGCTTGTCACTGTGTAGCACACACACGATCAATACAAACTTCTTCCCCGTGTTTGTTGTTTGTTTCCTGACTAAAATCAACAAAATGAAAATTACATTAGATTCGTTGATTTATTTTTGAATGAAAATTATATAACATATTTATATTTTTCTTTTCTTTCTGTTTTACTAAAATTCAAAATACGTAAGGAAAGTCAAAACTATACGTAATGTAAATTTATTAGTTACGATGCATAAGCTGCGAGGATCAAAGACGTTATTGAGTTGCAAATATGAAAGTTTGAGTGATATATAATTTAGATAATACAGTGGTGGGTGAAATACTGTTCTAAATGACAAATAGTAAATAATCCTATTTATTTTAAAATATACGTAAAAACTTTGAAAACGAAATGTTTTATGTTTGAAACAGTAAGTTTTGAAAATATCATTTTCACCATGAACATCTAAAGAATATTGAAAATATGAAATACAATGATATGGATTTTAAATTTATTTAAATTTATTTTCTTCATTTTGAAATATTATCGTTGAAAGTAGTGATTCATACATTCAACACATTTATAGTGTATAAATAGCTTCCTATCGGTCGTACAACTGGTCAAATGGTTTTTCTATGCAAAAATGAGACGGAAGAAGTAAGGAATGCAGAGTTTAACAACACAAAATAACATTTAACTTTGTCAGGAATATTTTTTACCATCATTATTCACAACCTGTTCCTACTTTAATTTCTTTTAATACCTCGACAACAGAAACTCTCCAATTTTAGATTAGAGAATGAGTCGAAAAAATCGTATTATTTACGGGAGAACCGAATACTTTAAGCAAGATTAAAAGTATTTGATATTATGCTTCGGATTAAAATAAAATGTTTTATCTTATAGATGTTATATCTTTAAATTTTATCAAAATGAAAAACGTTTCATTTGCTGAAGTTTCAGGTTCTATTTAAGATACTATCTTCAGTTAAGCCGAACCAAAGGTATTAAATAGTATTTGAAATATTTATTTCGTCAAATATTACCTAGCTCTAAGGAGACATGTACAATCAATTTAGTTGGAGGAAAGTTGTTCGCTAATTTTATTCCTAAGTATTTTTTTTTTTTTTCCATTTTAGATGTAGAATTAAATAATTTAGACGTGGAAGGAAAGTTTTCATCGATTTTTATGCGAGGATAGCTTTTTTTTTAACCCTTCGTTTTCTCTCGGTCATGGATATCAATGGACGAACTAGCCCAGTTTTGAGCGCGGGGTTATATGCATTCAACAAAAGATATCGCAATCGTTTACACGTATACGTGTTATGTGTGTCGCAAACATACATGTATATATGATCAGTTGTTTATACAGTACATTCTCATTGTTTCCAGGACAATGCAACAAGTGATGCGACGATAGGCGATGTCAGTTTCATCGGAGAAAATGCGACAGGGGTCCACATTGACTGGGGAATGGTAAAGTTTGCACGTGCTCCACTTTTCACAATTCAATCATGCGTCACACCGTTGAAAGTATTTCACATTTTCGGATCCTCGAGCTTTCCGGGGATCTTAACAACCATTTTGTTTTATTTCGCTTCGTTGAACTATAACACGAACGTGTTATTTATTTAACCGCGGGATACATCTTTTAGCATAATAGAGAAAATAAAGGCAGAGAATACAAGACGAGAACGATTGAAAACAGAGACAGGCAATTATAAACATTGGATAATGTATGTTTTGGAACTGCGATAGAATCGTAAAAGATATCAATTTTGCTTTTAAATTCGTTCACCACGATTCACACGTACGATTTATAGGATTAAATTTACCATATGACGAACGACGCTGTATGAAACACATGGATGGAAATCTAGCAACTCGGCAAGCAGTGCAAATTTTAAATAGCTCGAGAATCTCACATATAATGTTACTGCATAAATACGTCACCAACAAATGTAATATTGTAGATATCCCATAAACTGAAGCAAAAAATCACATAACAATCCACTTGATCTCGTTTTAAAACTTAAAGCCTTTACTTTGACAGCTTTCAGTTCGTCCTTTATAAAGATTGATTACATCATGAAATTGGCGAGCAAGTAAGGATACTTCTTCTCAAAGATTACAAAGTCTTTGCAATTTGCAAATAATTTCCACAAATTCTATTTGTTTATCTATGTACAGCAACCAAATAACCACTGTTGTTATTTCCCAAATAATCGTTGAAAGAATCAAACTCACGACTGCTAAAATAAAGGCTTTACGCTTTAAAACAAGACCAAGTGTATTGTTATATAATATTTTTTTATACGAAGTTATAACAATTTCCATTCTTGACGTTATTAGTTCGTTAAATTTTTCATCGTTATTAGCTCCTCGTTGTACCTATTATTAATATCATTGAACGTAGTAAATTTTTTATTGGCAAGCTAAGTTAATATCGTACATAATATCCTACGTATTTTTCAGATGTTTCACGGTGTTGTAGTGTCAGCGTCGCAGGTGTTAGCAGTTGAAAGCGTTTTTACGGGTGCCGTGGTTTATTTAGCTTGTCTACTTTATTCTCCGATAACGGCTGGCTTTGCTTTTTTGGGTGCACTCATCGGTTCATTGGCGGGTATTATACTATTTTTGTGTATGAGCCTTGAATTTATCGAGCGTAAGATTGAATCAATGCACCTTGTAAATGTTTTTGTAAAAGGAAGATATATTTCCGATTTTTCTATAATAGTTCTTCCTCGTAGGTTTGATGCTCGACGTGCAGATCGATGAAATTTATAGCGGTTTATGGGGTTACAACACTTTCTTGACAGGAGCTTCGTTAGGAGGAACTTTTTTTGTCCTTAACGGACAAACAGCTGCAGCTACGATTGTAGCGATCGCATACACCGTGATCGTGCAATATGCTATATGGTTCTTCTTTATAGATGTAATTATATTTATTTCCTTATTTTCTATTTGCAAAATAGTTAACATAATCTCGATCGATCTTGATAGATGATACTGTAATAGAGATTCCAAGAGAGTCTAAAATCTTATGTGATAAATAATTTTATGTACAGCTGAAATTGCCGATATTGACGTTGCCGTTTGTCCTGGTAACTTCTTTATTTCTGAAATTAAGGAGTAATTCAGGAGATAAAACTTTCCCACAACCACCGCCCATTTCCCTCTCGCGGACACAACGTCGAGATTATATTACCAGCCAACAAGCTCAGCTTATTCAGCAAGTATGTATTTGTATGCTTCAATTTATTTTCACGAATGTGTCACGTGTTATTCTCCCATTGATAAACCAAATCTCTGCATTTAATCATACAGTGTTCGTAAACAAAAATTTTAAATATTATATCATAGTTATGGAATGTTTTGGAATTCGAAAATTTTTAGAAGTAAGAGACACATCCATTAATATCTCTAATGTAATTTTTTTGGACGTATTCACGCGAACGCTTTTGAGTGAAACTCGAATGCAATTGGTTATAGTCGGAGTAAGATTGATGTGCGTTACGACGGGACTATCGTCATAGGAACTCTAGAAATATCGATTTCTGCTCTAGTCGAGGTTAACCTGCTCTTATACGATGAGGAATCGCGTATGGCGGATGTGATTCTGTCGTGCCAAAGATTATTGACGAAAGCACTCACCGACACGCTCGCTTTTTACTTTACTTAGAGGACGGAAAGAATAATCCGCGCCAATATAAATAAAAAAACAAATAGCGATTGTACAAACAAAAATTAATGAATTTTTTTTCAGTTTGTGCGTTTATTTGTATAGTTTCTACGCTTAAAAAGATCATATCAGTACATTAAAAAAAAAAAAAAGTCAAATTCAGAGATAATGTGGGTAACAGAAAGAATAAAAAAAATCTATGTATGATCTTTTAGATTTTAATTTATTGTAACTCTCCTTTTTTTTTTTTTTTACAGAAGAACGATGCAGAAAACGATGCAGAAGACAGAATTAAAGATCGAAGAAAGCAATCAACGCACGACGTTTAATCATGAAATAAACATAATATTCATACGGATGTTTTGTAGAAATTTGAACTCTTATTTTCCTACTCAATTAATTAAAATGCTCCGAAGTATCAAGTGAAAAACAAGACGTCAGAAGTCGGCCGTTCTATTTCTTCTCTCATAAAAAAAAAATCTGTGGATTGCTGCAACGAATTTTTAACGACGACATTTCAAGAATCTACAAGTCGATCGATAAAATTACTTGGTTGCTTTTTTTAGCTTACAACGTTGAGCCCAGATCGTAAATTCGACGGAGAATTTTCATTTGTCCTGCATAACGATCACTGTGTGCCAGTTCTTTTATTATGTTAGCTACGTACTATATGTATATACAAGACACTCGGAGCTGTTTTCTTGGAAAGTGTAGAAAGCATACGCAAAAGTTTTCCCTATTTGAGAGATGGTTAAAAATTTTCATGGATAGAGTGCTGAAGTATGAAAATATGAACGGGGGAAAATGATGTTATGCTGCATCGTTAAAAGTAAATTTCGCGAATATCTTCCTTGAAGAGTGGCAGCAATAAATTTTTTATTTACAAAGATTCATAAATATCGTAGCTCCTATATTAAAATTCCAATAGCATCGCACGTTACTCACTATGAATATTTATATTTTATTTATTATTCTAACATTTCAATGTGCTTCAGAAAGGAAAGGAAGACCGAATACATTACGATGTTCGGTGCATTTCGCTGATGTGATATAACTTCTGCCACTCTATCTTCATTCTTAATAATCTTGACACCAACAAATAAGAAGAATTCTTATTCTAGTGTTTCTTGTGAATAGCCGTTGTAATATATGATAGTTTGTTTCATACTTTCTAATATGTGTGTCCAACTACATATTCATGTAGTCTCCAAACATTAGAGAGATATATTGAATATTTTGTGAAGGTGAATATTCACAGAACAACGTTATTTCCTTTTAATACATTAGGCTGCATAGGGCTATCTGTTTATTCATGCAAGATTGATTTTCCACAGAACGAAGTAACTTCGAGGATATTGGGAAAATATGCACAATGATGCGCATCGAGAGTTGTTGATCTCTTAGCTGTATTAAAATCTGTGAAGAAGGCAACGTCAAACTTTTTCCCATTTGTCACGCGTGCATGTACGTATACCTTTTCTCAGTTTCATATGCACAACTTAAGTATCTGCCTCTTAAGTCTCGAAGAACACATCTTTTTTCTACCAACATAGCTTAATAACACAAAACAAAATACTTAAATATCTCGACTGATAAAAATGCGTCACGTTAATAATGCAATTTAATAATGCATTTAATTCATTAATATCTTTTTATAAAGAAAAGTATTAACCAACTAAATAATATATAATAAACTAAATTATTTAACAGATACTTTGGTTTTAATTTTGCAAAATCCATTATATAAAAGACAAAAGCAAAATAAATAAGAATATTAATGAACAACAACACATGAGAATATTGATCATATCTTTTCTTGTTTTTTTATAGAATAAAAATATCTATCTCACAAAATATCTACCAATGATTTTCCATAATCACTTTAAAAATGATATCGTTTCGTTTAAAGGAACTATGACATTTAGGTGATCTGTTTCACATGATTCACCCTGTATAATAAAATTTATTTATTCGCTTATTATAATTTCAAATCTGCATGAATAAATAAATGTCACTTTTTAATGATGTCACTTCAGGTAATAAATTCTAAAAAGTTTCAACGTTATTACATTTGTCGAGGAAATAAAGTCGTATTAAAAGAAATTCTTTTGTAGTTTGTTCAAAAGCTTTGTTCAACAATCTCTCTCGGAATTACCGAGCAAAGCTAACTGTGGAAACTAAAATTTTGATATAAAAAATCGTGTTTCAAGGAAAGATAACGTTAAAATAAAAGGAATGGTTTTTTTTTTCATTTCAAAATGACATTTTTCTTATTGCACAGAGTTTGCATTATGTCAGTATGAGGCACCATGTAGGAATTCTATGAAAGTTTTTGTTTAGCTTGCAGAAATCTGGAATAGTTACTGGATTTCTATTTTTCTGCAGCACAGTCCATTAAATTAATTTGAGAGACAAATCCGTCTGAATAAGCAGATTTGTCTCTCAATTAATTTAATCGATTCATATAATTAATTTGAAAGAATGAAATTTGTGAATATGTCACAAGTCAATCAGATATTAAACAATTTCTAGATGTATTTTCTCTTCCACTACAAAATGTAATAGAAAAAATTACACATTTTTCAGATAGAAAATACTAATGACCTTGAAAAAACAGATCTAAAAAAATGATCTAATAAAAAAAGTTTATTTTTCAAGATATTTTTTCAAGATATTTTCAAGATATTTTTCAAGATATTTTCAAGATATTTTTCATTGGAGCCATTCAAAATTGTACATTCAAAAATTAACATTTTTCATGTTTCAAACAATGAAGGAGATATTTAAGTATTTATATATATATATATATTCTTTATCTGAGATATCCTGTATATTTCTAACTACTTTAACATTTCTTCTGAGGAAGGTGCACTTAAACTTGATCAACTCTTTTTTTTTTATGTAAATTGTAAGATTGAAATTATAAGTGAGTGGGTAACAATTTCTCTTTTATAGCTCGTTGCTCGACTTTATAATGCAGACATAACGTTATTATTTGTATTCTTATAAATCAGGATAAATTGAAAACTTACAACTTTATTGCATAAATGTGTTTGCACTACTTCCGCGCAATAACCGTAAAATAGTTAATTCGTAAATTATGAAGATAAAATTAAGTATTATTAAAAGTTGTAGATATCAGATCCTTGTTCATGCTATCGTGCAGCGTTCTAACAAAACATTATGAAACTGTTGGAATATATTATCTGCTTCTTTCTGATACCAAACTTTCCTTTTTAATGCTTAGTGAACTCGTTTTATCGCCAGTACATTAGAAAATTGTTGAATTTAAAATAAGTAGGAACAGATTAATTTTTAAACGTTAGACAAATTGATATTTCTCGTGAATAGAGAGTATTGATCGACTACTTTCGACTATAGCGGCGATTATTATAAAAGAGTAAAATTTTAATAAAAAATATTTGTATCTCCTGACTATAATGGAACTAAATTTAACTTAATTTAATTTAATTTAATTTAATTTAATTTAATAATCAATTTACGATTAAATTATTTAATTCTGGAATTTCCAATTTAATTTAATTTTATTATTAATTTCTACTACAGGAAATATATTATACAATGTGAAATAAAATCGAATAATCTAAAGTTTAGAAATTTGACATATATTTTATACTCATCTGTAATGCAATGACATACTATACAATAGATCGAGCAAAAAACTTCTTAAAAAATAATCATAGAACAAAATTTTAAGTTATCAAGGGATCAGGGGATTATTATTCAAGACCGTATTGGATTTAGTTATGAAAAAAGATTTTTTTGTGTCCACGGAGATGTTTGAATTTGCAGAATTTTCGAAAGAAAAAAATATCTCTACTTAACTTCTTTGAAAATAATGTGAAAACATTTTTGAAAGAAACGAACGTATGTACTGTGAAAGTAGAAGCTTCACGCTTAAAAAAAAAAAAAAAATGAGTATAAAATTCTATTGCTATAATTTTTTAGTAAGAAGTTATATATATATATATAAGTGTCGATAATTTTTCCGTTTTACTCTCACACTCGATAAAAAAAATCATGTACACTTTAAAATTGCTGTAATTTCTTAATAAAAAAATCAAATTACTGATTCATATTAATATTGATGATAATTTTGAAACCTTTTGAACGTCACGAATATTGCCAGAGAATTAGAAATATA